GTTTTTTCTTTATAGAACAAAAGGTATTTCTTGCTGGAGAAACACTAATCTTAAAATTCTCTTTCTCCTTTCAGCACCTGTGATTACAGAAGAAACTACTTTTCAGCTTGAAGATGTCATTAAACAGAGAATATTGGATGAGGTCAATATTACCTGACTTGTTCCTTCCTGTTTAGTTCATAGATTTCATTCACAGGGCACGTTCCAAGGATGAAGCACTTCCAGGTGTAGAATTATCTGAATTTCTGCAACTGACTGTTTTATTCTTCTGCCTTGATCAGTGTGTCTTTAGATTTCTAGGAAGCCCTATTTTTACATCACTGTTATATGCCAGATTGTGGTGTGCTTCAAAAAATGAGTGTTTGCAGATAAAACTGTAAGGAGTTTATTAGGAATATAATGCCAGCCTGTAAGTTTTGGCTGTTACCATCCGTAGTGCTCTGAGCATTCTGAATACTGATCAAAACTCAGTTGTTTACTTCATTTTTCTTAAAAGCCACTGCTAAAAAAATTGTATTGTTTACTTTATTTTTCTTAAAAGCCACTGATAAAAAATTTGTATCTCACAGCTTGTTGAGACTTAGTTGAATTAAAAAAAATTGGCACATATGGGGGAGAGTTTTTAAGTACTTAAGAAAATTACACATTTGTTACAGGTTGTGCCAGAATTCACTAAAAACAAGGACACAAACTAGAGTTATAACTTTTATTACTTTTTTTGTTTTTCAAATGGAAATGTGAAACTTCCTGAGTTTTTGGGAAGCCACATGCATGAACTAGTTAGCGTGCCAGATAATTCATTGAAAAATGTTCCAAATAAGCTGTACCACCTGATATTTGACTGTAGTTGCATTTGGTCATTACTTTGTCACTTCCTCAGGCGTGGGATGACGTGGTACCAAAAGAAAAACCGAAAGAGGAGGCTTTTGAATACAAGAAACGTATCACTTTGGATCATGAAAAGAGTAAGCTGAGTCTTGCTGAAATCTATGAGCAAGAATACGTGAAACTTCACCAGGTAACAGAAACTGCCTTTCCTTCAGGTTCACACCACATAATCTTGAACGTTCATTTATACACTGCTAACTCTGCTTACAGAGTTTTCATCTTTCTCTTGGTGTTCACCAGTGAAATGGCTCCTAGTTGTACGTTGTGCTGTTATCAGTCTTACTAAAGTAAAATACCTTTAGGAATGGTGTTGCAGTAACATTGCATTATTAATGCAGCAAAAGACTGAAGAGGAAGAAAATCCTGAACACAAAGAAATTCAGGAAATGATGGACTCGCTCTTCCTGAAGCTGGATGCACTCTGTAACTTCCACTTCACACCCAAACCAGTAAGTACATAAGTTTCATAAAGTTGGGTATCCCCCCGTTTTTTAAACTGGATACTTCAAAATATATTTCAGAAACGGAAAGTAAAGTAAACATTGATGTTTACTGAGCTCATTCTTACTTCACATTAAATGCACTATGATTGGCTCTAAACAAACCCAAACACTGGGTATCTTCAGTTAGTGTGAGCTGCTGTGCTCAGGCTTGAATGTGTCTCCTTGTTTCCAGCCGGTACCAGAAGTTAAAATAGTTTCCAACCTTCCAGCCATAAGTATGGAAGAAGTGGCCCCTGTTGCTGTCAGCGATGCTGCTCTCTTAGCACCAGAGGAGATCAAGGTAAGGATCAAACTGCATAAGGATGGAGAGAGGATCTGTGTTGTTTACAGAAGGATGTTTACTGCCAGATCAGTGGGAATTCTGCCCCTTCCCACCCTGGTGAGTGGTTCCTCACCTTGTGGACCTTCTTGCCTAGCATTTTAGTGTTGGTTGTTGTTGGGGTTTTTTTGGGGGTGGTTTTTTTTTTTTGCTAACTGAAAGGTGGGGAAAGAGTTCACTTTATTTGGTGCTGTAATATTGTGCTACGTTTTTGATCTTGACTATTATGTGATGCTGTTTTCCCAACATATGTATGGGTATTTGGAAGGTGAAAGCTAAATGACAGTAAAGAAGAGCAATTAGCATGTCCTCAATCAGTTGTACAAATCTCATTTCCCAGCTTTTCCCAGTTTTTGGCCTTTGCATTAATCCAGCCTTGCCTTGAGCTGGCACTCACTTGAAATAATGAGACAGATTATGGACCTAGGGATCTTGTTCACTCTAGGAAAAGAACAAAGCTGGAGATGTAAAAACAGATGCAGAAAAGACTCCCACAGACAAAAAACGAGAACTAAGAAGGAAAAAGCTCCACAAACGTATGAGGCGAAGGGAGAGGGAGAAACGCCAGAAGCTTCTTGAAAAGATGAAACCAGAGCAAAGCACAAAACTCAGCAAAAAAGCTGCTGCAGCAAAATTAAAACAGCTCACAAAAGAAGGCAAAGCATCTCTGCTCAAGGTAAGACAGTCTAAGTTGGAGCTTCCCAGCTACAGAATATTAAGATCCCAAGGATAGACAGTTTTAGCTAGAGAGAAAAAAGGTTACTATATCCCAAAGAATTACAAAGTATAAGGTTTGTTCCCCTCTCATCCCTCTTGTCACAAGTCTTTCTTCATCCCCTCAAAAAATCTTGCACAAGGATAGAATCTGTGCTTACTCCCCTAACCTTGTGACCTTATGTGTGAGCAAATATAAAGGGTAAGTGTAGCTGCTGCAAAGAAAGAGGGAGGAAGGCACAGAAAGGGCAGATGCATATTCCTTTATTATTTATGTTTATTTTTTATTCTCCCTTCCCCTTTTTTTCCCTTGTGTTCTTTTGAACTGCAGTTTTCTAGTTGTAGCTGTCTTATGCAAAGTAGGGTTAAATGCATTTTAGTCCTGATTTTGTTAATTATCCTGACAGCATGATGTCAGTATTGAGGCCTGAAAATATACAGCTCCTGTAGCACTTTGCAGTAACCCCCTTGTTAATAATGCATATTTATGTAGATGGTACTGCTGTAGTTATGATACATCATTCCTACGTGGTTCTTTAGAACCTTTAAAAGCTTACTCAGAGTATGGAATATATTTGAATTTGTAAGCAGCTTAATATTTAGATATGCAAAACTATGAAAAAACTCTATGATACAACTACTTTATGTGAAAGTATGTTCTCAAAGCAGAAATGATTTTGTGTGAGGTACTCCTTTTTGTGGTGTTCCTGCAAATAAAGCATGCTCCTCATTTCCTTCATTTAAACCATTCCACTTGATTAAGTGGGACTACTTGAATGCACAATTGAGATTGAGGTTTCTGTGTTCTTTCTAAGATTTGAGTAACTGAAGCTGTGGTGTAATAGAATATTCCTGGTTAACTTTGTCCTTTTTGTGGAGCCCTCCCTATAATCTCATCAGACTGATTTTGTTTTGCATGCTGTAAAACAGTAAACTTGTGCACCACCTATGATGCCTTATAAATTAAATGTTAAAAATCTCTGAAATTTGGAAGTATTAGAAACTAACAGGAAAAACAACTTGGTTACTTTTAAATGTGCTTACCTTTTCAGAAGGCAAGCAGAACACAAAATACAGATACCCAGTTGTAGTTCATGACATGTAAGGATTTGTTCTTGATGCCTGCTCTTACCTGTCATGCTAATTGCTGTTTAGAAAGGGAATGTAATCTTTAGATAGCAGGAGTGGAATAAAAATGTGGGGGAAGATAACCTTTGAAAATGAGTTACCTGATTTTTTTTAAGTCAAATACCATTATATGTGAGTAACTAGTAAGTAATACAATGGCACTGTTTGTACATTTCTTGGTTATAACAGATCTTTTGTCCACTGACAGGATGAAGGTAAAGACAAAGCCTTGAAATCATCACAGGCCTTCTTTTCTCAACTACAAGATCAAGTAAAAATGCAAATCAAAGATGCAAGCAAATTAAAGAAGAAACAGAAGAAGGAGAAAACACTCTCTGTTCATAAATTGAAGCTGTGATTTACCTTTTTATATATGTTGCATCTTGTATATATTAAAATGTTTCTTCATCAATGCTGAATTTGACTAGGTTTTATTCTGTGCTGATCTTTAAAGTAAAACCTGCAGGAAAGCATCTTTACATCACCTGAGAAGTTCACAGAATATTTTAATTTTCTGCTATAGAACTCTGCTTCTTGCCAGGGGCAGATACATAACCATGTAAAATATTTGGCATGTGTTGTGACTGTACAGTCTCTTTAATCTGTAGTCCCTAGATTTGTATCTGCTCTACTGCAGGAGCAACTGCACTTACTGAAGAACTTAAGATGTATTCACGTAGTTAACTTAGAAATTATATTCTGAAATAGTGAGAACCAAACAGGACACAAAAGCTTTTTAAGACTGTGGTATCTCAGAGTTAGGAAATGGCTTCTCTTAACTTAAGAGTCACACAATGGGTCAGGTTGAAGGGTCCACAGGGGGTCACCTGGTCCCACCTCTCAGCTCAGGCAGGGCCACCCCAGAGTACATGGCACTGGATTGTGTCCAGATGGTTCTGGGATGTCTCCATGAGGACACTCCACACCCTCTCTGTGCAGCCTCTCCAGTGCTGGGTCACTGCACAGCAAAGTTCTTCCTTGTGGCCAGGTGGCACTTCCTGGGCATCAGTTCATGCCCGTTCCTCCTGTGCCACTGCTGGGCCCCCCGAGCAGAGCCTGGTCAGATAGGGATGGGCCCTTCAGTGCTTTCCTCTAACGCGTCCTTTTACAGCTCCGAGGAACATCCTCCTATACCAGCCCTGTTCTCAGAGTCACATTAACCGTATTTCTCGAGATGGAGATATTTCACTGTTTGCTCTTTCCTCGGCTGAACAAAGAAAAGAGAATCCTCCAGCCGTTGCCCCTGTGGACCTCAACCATTCTTCCCTCGTTGTTGTCAAAGGAAATGTTCAGAGTCAGCAGGGCCGTGTCGGTGGGCGGCGGGAGCGCGGGGCCGCCACCGGGGCCGCCATCAGGGCTGCGCTGCTCAGGCCTGGCGGGGGCGGGAGCGGGGCGGCCCCGCACACACGGCCCGGCCCCTCACGGCCCGGCCCCGCATACACGGCTCGCACGGCCCTGCCCCTCGCGGCCCTGCCCACACGGCCCCGTAAGGCCCCGCACGGCCCCGGGAGGGACGCACGGCTGCGGCGCCGGTGGGCGGGGAGGGCCGGGCGGGCTGCGGGACAGGGCGCGGTTGGGTGCTCCCGGCGCGGGGAGCGGCGGGGACGCCGGGCCGGCGAGGGGCGGGCACGGCCGGGCACAGCACCGGGAATGGGGGCGGGAGCCCGGGGCGCAGCACCGGGAATGGGGGCGGGACCCGAGGCGCCGCCGTCCCGGTAGGAACACGCGCGGAGCGGCCGGAGCCCTCGCAGCGCCTGTGCTCGGCAGCCTCGGAGAGCCCGGCCCGGCCTGGGGCAGCCGCAGCAGCCGGGGGGCGGTGCGCTGGAAAGGCGGGTGTTTGGCACCGAAAATAGTCTGTCTGCACAGCAAACGAGGTAATGACGGAATGTGCCCTGCGACAGGATGGGGAGCAATGGCCATAAACACAAGGAATTCCACCTCAACGGGAGGGAGAACTTCTTTACACTGAGGGTGGCAGAGCCCTGAACAGCTGCCCGGGGAGGCCGTGGAGTCTCCTCTCTGGAGACTTTCAAACCCACCTGGATGTGTCCCTGTGTACCTGCTCCAGGTGACCCTGCCCGGGCAGGGGGTGGGACTGGGGGATCTCCAGAGGGCCCATCCTGGGCCCAACCCTGACTGTTCTGGGATTTTGTGAAAATTAGAGGACTATTTAAATGTCAGGTTCACTTGATGATGTAAATGAAAAGTTGAGATTGATTTCCATGTATTAAACTGTTGAAGGCCAGCTGCAGCGTTCAGCATGGCGATTTTGGTGTGCCGGGTAAGGCAGGCTAAAGGACAATAACACTGTAACAGTTAAGAACTGCTTGACTTCTTCACTTGTAGGCTTTAATGTTTTCTTCTCTGCTGTTCATCTTGGTTGAACCTTGGCTTGGTACCTTACAAGGTCATTCATTCAGTATCTTTTTTTTTTTCTTGAAGACACATCAGAGGATTACAGATGGAAAAGGCAAAGCCGAGAAAAGCCTTCTAAGTATTACAGAATAAGGAAATATGGCTCGAATGGAGTTTCCTGTGCTGTGTAAATGCTGTGAAGTTTTGTAATGGCAGAAGCTAGGTCTTCAGGAATCAAAAGATCCCAAATAAGTTTGTCACTGAGTAAAAGTAAGAAGAAAAAAGGAACGCCATCTATACCTTCAGCATCCTCCTCTATTACTTCCTTTTTTAACAATGTTCCCCCTGCCAAAATTAGCTGTCCCGTGTGTGGGCAATTGGTGCCAAGGTATGGAATAAATGAGCACATGGATGAAACATGTCAGAGAAACTGTGGTGAGATTGGTGCCATTGGTGCTATGCTGGGCCCTCTGAAGAATAAGAGCCCCCCAGCTGCAAATGTAACCAATAATTCCAGCTCATACTTTTCAAAAAACATCTTAAACCTAGAAACAAGTCCCTCCAAAAGCAGTTCACTGAAAACAGAAGGTAGTGCAGCACAACAGATTAGTCCTTATTTTAGCAATAATAGCTCAGTCATTAGTGTTAACAATGAATCACAGGCCCAAACAGTCAAAATAGTCTCTTTGGGAAGCTTGTCATCGAAACTGTCCAGAAGACGTTGTGCCCAGGGAGGAAAACAGGTTGTGTATAAAGAGATTGACTCTTCACCTCCTGCTGTTCACAGTCTGTGTAGAAATGCTGCAGCACAGGATGATGATGATGATGATATTTATGCTGGGCATAGTTCTCAGAAAGAAAAGGAGCTTGCACAGAGAGAGCACCAGGAAAAAAATTTTTCAAAGAGGAAACCTGAATTTCAAAAAGAAAGAAACCTATGTAATCGAGAAGACCTTGTGGATATAGTTCAGGTATCTCTACCAGCTGATAACAATGACAAAGAATTCCCAAGTGGTACAAAGAGGACCAAACCAGAAAGCAGGTCTGAAGGTGTGACACTTAGTCCTGATAAATTTGAAACACCTCTAGCCATTTATACTTCACCAGAGCTGGCCAGTAATTTGGAAGTCAAGACTCAGCCTCACACCCAGGTTATTCCTTCTTCCAAGACAGAAGTGAACTGTGATACACAAAATTGCTGTAGCGAGGGTGATGCGCAGATACTTCCTGTGGAAGTTCTTGAAGACTTTAAGGATGAGATGAATTATACTATGTTAGAAACTACGGGAAAAGAAGAATTTCAGAATTCCACTGGGGTCGTTTTAGACAAAATAGATAAGGTTCACTCTGTGCCCAGCTCTCCTGGTCACCCATACTACCTCCAGAATTTTTTACTAGTGCTTCAAGCAGTCTTAGAGAATGAAGATGATGTCAGACTATTTGATGAGCAAGATATGAACATCATAACCAAGTTCTACAAATTATCAGGTACCTTTCTTTAAAAATACATCTCCACATTACTGTTGCATAGTTTTATGTGAGGAGTGCTATAACGTGGGCAATTTAACTGGATGAGTTCCTTAAGGGGAAGAAGCTCCTTTTTCTCAGGAGACGTATCCATCAGTGGCTTCTTGTAAGTAAACTCTCCTACTGTTGTTTAAATGGAAGGTGTTGATAAAAAGTGAAGACTTGTAAGGAAGGTCTGCGGGCAATACTATAGTGACACTGGGGTGAAGCCAAGTCAGTGAGGTGTCTGGCTGGACACTGACATGCCACAGCAGAGCTCAGGCAGGAGTGCAGGCCACCAGTCTGGGCTTAGGTACAGCTCCTGAGAGAATGGAGGGGGGCCCTGACAAAGCCTCACTCAGCCCGCCCAGCACCTGAGCTCAGCTTACACAGTTGCACAGATCTGAGCTGGCCTTGGACACAAGCAGCCAAACCTGTGGGGGCTGGGGTGTGGCTGCAGAGCCTGTGGGTGCACTCCAGGCCATGAGCATGTCACAATAGTGACATCTTGGGGCTTGATAATGCCTTGTTTATGTTGTGATAATTAAAAGGGGAATATATAAAGGCGGGAACAGGAGCAACAAAACTTATTATTGGCTCTCCGAGGCAAGCAGTAGATGCACATCCTTTGCATCCAAAGATCTAGGCATAAACAGTTAGGTCAGTCGTGTATGCAGGCTTTGGTTACCTGGACAAATACTAAAAGAGGCTCAGGATACAGGTTCCTCATTTCCACACTCCCTTCTCTGGATGGGTACAACACTGATCAGTAACAGGAGCTTGTTCTCTTAAATAAAGGAAGTACTTGTTTCTCTTTCAGTAGTGTGATTTCAGAATTCCCTTCTTGCAGGAGTTTGGAATACAGAAAGAATTACTGCAGAGTGGTGCTGGTAAATCCATGTATGCATTGAATGCCAGGGGCACAGATAAAACAGTCTTTCTTTGCAGGGTAGGAAAAACACAAGGATTGAGCTATGAGAACTGCTTTAACTCAATAGATAACAAATTCTGGACAATTGACAGATGAAGAAATCTTTTCCATGAAGAAATACCAGACAGAATACTTTAAAAGTTCAGGTAGATGTGTTATCTGTCCCACGTTAGAAGTTTCTAACCAAGCAGGTGTTGTCTTTCAGTTATCATAACACAAAAAACCCAACACATGTGCCTAGTACTATGGAGTTGCTTCAATATAGGTATTTTCTAGTATTTCATTATTTTCTGCTGAAATGTCTACCATTCTTCAGTGAAAGATCTCTAACTCACTGAAGTCATGAAGATTATTATGAAAGTTTGTGAACTTATTACGAAATGTAGAGCACTGCCAGTTTTTTAAGTGCCAGAAACAGTAGGTGAAAGTAGGGAAAAGCAGAGGTGTATCCGTAATAAGTAACCTGCAGTGCAATGTCAGCCTTTGTGCTTAAGATGAGTTCTGTCTGAAATTAGGTGTAACATTAAAAACATGATTTTTGTATTCTCTATGTTTAATTTTGCTACAAGGTACAGCTGCAAGAATTTAAATGCAAGTTCACAGTTCTAGTGACACTAACCTAATACACTCAGTGAAATCCTCCTTTCAACTTTCATACAGTAGAAATATTGTATCTGAAAAACATCAATTTATAGTTACCAGTGGAACTGAGGTACAGAAAACAATTGTTTTCTGTTGTATTTTGATGAATCATAGAGGGTGAACTTTTCTAAGATCTTCTGCATCTTTTTGCTGATAATATTTCAACTTAGAGCAAATTTTTTATTTAATTGATATACTTGAAACTTTCTTAAGAACCACAAAAGAAAAAAATCTCCCGAACCTCCAAAGGTAGTGAATGCACTTCAGAACAGGGTGCTTAGGAAGCAATTAATTACTTGCACAATATCTTTCTATTCTTCTATTTGTCATTCAAATCCTTCAGAGAGGAAGCAGTCCTCACATGCCCTTGCTGGATTGCAGCCCTCGTTTGGTCAGCTCCAAGGGCTGGGGAAAGAATGTTCATGTGTTAACCTTTTTCCTTTCTCCAGAGTTGTAAAAAATGGGAACCGACTTCAAAGGAGTTCTAATCCCAGAGAGAAAATGCCAGGCTCATATGTCTAAATATAGTTCTCCCAGTGAATTGATCATGGAAAAATTCCATTAAAAAAAGGCTGAAAAAGTCTTTTAAGGAAAGGAGAATTGTTAAATAAACACGTTGAGGTTATCTGCCGTTTCTTGGATATCTCTGGGTCTGGTAGTGTTTCAGTGTCTGTTTTTATTAAATATCAGTTTCAGTTAAGCAGCAGACAGGGATAAAAATTCAGAAGTTAATGAGGGTTGAATTAAGTATTCAAAAGGTTGTTGAATGTAGTAACAATAGCTGCACTATTTTCAGCTAAAATTTAATAAGCTGTTTTGTTGAATTTCAGCATGTATGTAAAAAGTCTTTTTAAAGGGTACTTTAAGAGAACACTTCCCTGATAAAAATAAAATGAATAGCAGGAGTTTTTTCTGTTGTTTTCAGTAGATACATTAGTAAAATTAGGCTTATCTTTGAAAAAATAAGAGTCTGAAGACTGCTAGACAGAGAGGTATTCTGTGATTATGAAATTATTCTGTCAGACTTCTTTTGTTCCCTAGCACAAAATATTTGGTTATTGAATGACTGTTAAGGAAAGCAAAAAGACCTATTTAATATCACAATATGCAGAGTTGAAAAATGAAGTTGTGTTTTCCTATAAAACAAATTATTTCTTAAAGGATAAACATGTCAAAATGCATTTTAGCAGTGTACAATACCTGCAAAATACATTGTAATACTTTTGTACCTACAAAACTTAAATATTCTAATGAGTTTATTAATTACTTGATAAGGTAAGTTCTGGTATTTTACCAAGTCTGCTTGTAGAACGTGACGAGATGTAAAATGTGTTTTAGAGGATACCTGCATCAAAGTAATTTTTCTGGTTAAGGTAGTGATTTTGCATAGTGCTGTGTTTAGAATTTACTCTTCATTTTATCCTTCCCTGCTTTAACTCCAATTTGCAGTTGGTGGGCAGAAGTTATATGTGAGACTTTTTCAACGCAAGCTGAACTGGTTAAAGGTGAACAAAATAGAGTATGGAGAGATAAGTGTGGATTTGTCACCAATGATTAAAGAACTGGCTGAAGCCAGATTTCTGCAAACAGGTAAGACCAGCGCTGATAAATCTTAAAAATACTGCATATAGAATCTGCAGTTGGGTCATGTTAGAGTTCAGTGCACTACAGGTTTGTCTGTGCCTTGGGAAGAGTACTAGAGGACCAGAATTAAGATTTCAGGTAAATGAGTTATGTTGTGAATAATAAAAATAATGCAAATTGGGTAATAGGGAAGACAGCATTTCTGAATAGCGTTTTTTTGTAACTCAGCAGAATTTTTTTTTGCTTCTATTTTGAAGTTGTAAAGGGTGTTTTCTTCTGATTCTTCCATACCTTCCACCTGGACCTGTGAAGAGGTTGGGAAGAAAGTGCAGAAGAATTTCGGGGTGAACCAGATAACACTGACAGTACATTTTTCAGGAATTTAAGTCATTAGATTAGTACCGGGTTATATGAATGTACTATGACCTATTGCTTGAGTGTACATGTATAACACACAATGAATGTATCAGGTCATTTTGCTTGTAGAATCCGAACTGGAAGACCTGTGTGAAGGTTTGGATTTGCTTTCAGCCCCTGAACTAAAAGCATTGGCAAAGATCTTTCACTTGCCAAACCCAAATGGTCAGAAACAGCAACTTGTGGATGATTTTCTGAGGTTGGCAAAACAGCGTTCAGTATTCAGCAGGAGTCAGGCTGGTGTTGGGACAGTGATCTTAAAAAGGTAAATGTTTATAGTTAAATTTTGCACTGCAACTAGACTGGAATCTAGATGCCTTTTCAAGAGAGAAATGTATTTAGTAAATTTATTAGTAAAAAAGGAAGCATTACATTTTGATTCCCAGCAAGTCAAATGGAAGGTTAAATACTAGACTTTTTTTAAAATTATGTTGTGCTTGCAGCTGTGGGCATGATTATCTGTCTGCAAAGTTACTTGGCTACACAGAGAAACATTTCTGAATTCTATAAAGCAGAGTCAGTGCAGAAAAACATCCAGGAAGGTATGGGAAAGGCCACTGCCTATTAAAACAACCATCTGATGTTCGTTTGCTCTGTGAGCTCTTTTGGTAGAACTGGAGGAGACCAATAGTCTCTTTTCTGGGATTGACTGAGTACTTTAGCATAGAGACTCCTTCTGGCAATATTTTAAAGGGAAAAGTATGTTTACCTGACAAAGTGTTCTTTCTGTCCTGTGATGTTTCCACTGTGACTGTCACAGCTGGGTGTACCCTTGACTTCCAGGTCTCCTGGGGTCCAGGTTCAGGTTTAAGATGCTGTGCTGCCCTAATAGGAGTGATTAGGGTCTGAACTCGGTGATTGTGGAATCCTTTCTGTATAAAATTTGGCTTGGATAGAAAGCTGGCAGAAGTCAGCATGTACTGCATTTGCTGTACTAACATAATTTGTATTTCCTGTGGCATTCCTTTTCAAATGAGAGGGATATAAAATTTTATCAAGTTTTGCATAGCTATGTTTATTGGACAAATATTCCTCCTCCCCCCCAAAATCTACCACATGATTTTCCATAAAATTCCTTGTATTAAAAGGGGCCTAGTATTGGAAAAAGAACTTGAAAATCATTCCTCCATGAAGAATTATTATGCCGTGAATCATTAAGGTCTTCTTTCCTTATTTTGTGGTTGTTTTCTCATTCTAATCCAAGCATAGACAACTTCAGTATGAAATCCTTAGATTTCATTTTTCCTCTTTGATACTAGACATTGAACTATATGACAATGCATGATGCACAATTTATATAAATATCTCTAACAGAAACAAAATTGTTTTCAAAATAGTGTCTTAGAGAAAGGCTAGAAGAATAGAAAGGAGCCTGGGAAAATTAGTTACATTCCAAAAAAGTACTTGGTGCTGTCTTACTCCCTACTTCAAGAACAGAGGCTGATAGTTACTTGCTCAGCCACCCCAGCTTTACCCTTTGCTGTAGATGACAGCTGAAATGCTGATTATCCCAGGAGATCACAGAAAATCTGGTTTTAAATCTGTGCTGTCCAGTGGACAAGCAACAAAGTTTGGGCTTGTATGAAAAGGCTGGTTGAAAATAGGCTAATGGAGATTCCCTAAAACAATAGATCTCAAATTAGGGCCTGTAAACATTCTCTAACAGCAAACCTTGACTTGTTGATTTATGGTACTGGCTGGCACAGCAGCAGGAGTGACTGCACCCAAAGGGCAGTTAGTTCTGATTCTGTTCAGATGGAAGTTTGACCCTTAAACTTTTTATTAGCGAATGCATTTGGTAGGATTTTCACTAGAGGTTCCATGTACTATATAGTATCTCTACTTCTTTCAAGGAAAATCAATTTTATGCATTATAGGCTTGAAAAAAATATTTTCTTTTACTTCATTCAGTATAATTCAGTTTTTACAAGTGACAGTAAAAATCATTTGTTGTACTAATTTTATTTGTCCCTCCAGGGTGAAGGACTTGGCTGGAAAATGTGTGAGGGTGTGTAAAGGCCCTCGGGCCGTGTTCTCCCGGGTCCTGCTGCTGTTCTCGCTGCCGGAGGCGGTGGAGGAGGAGGAGGCCGGGAGTGCTGGGCAGGGCCAGCTCTGCACGGTGCTCCTGGCCAGCATGGGCCGGGCCGTGTTCCCCACCTACACCGTGAGCAGGAGCACCCAGGTCTTCCAGGACAGAGACGATCTCATCAGGTGGGGAGAGCTTTGGTTGCTTGCACATCTGTTTCTTTTTAGAAAAGCTTTCCTGCAGCACTGGTGTAGGCAAGTAAGAATTCGTCATGGGGAACTTCAGATGTAAATATATAGAAGTGTGCTTTTGTAATGATTTTAAGTGCGTTTTTGTATCCAGGTAGGACTCGTAATTCACAGTGGCTTGGCTTTGGATCCCAAATAGCGAATTTGTTTGCTTCAGGATCGTCTGCTGATGAAAGCTGTTTCTTCATTTGCTGTGCTGATTATTAGAAGTGGACTCTGAGCTAAACAAAAAATATGTTCTATAGTCTGTAAGTTTAAACATAATGTGCCCTGCTAGTTTAAACTCTGCTAATCCTATGAGATTAAGGATAAAAGATGGCTGCATGATTCAATGTCTTCGGAGACTGGAAGGGAAGGAATTGATTTCTTCTAACTATAGATGCTTTTTCAGCCTAAGAAAGTTATTGTGGTTTTTTCCCTCAGATATGCAACTGCTGCTCATCTGTCATATGATATAGCCACTGCAATGGTAAATGGGCACTGGGAAGAAGCTCATAATCTATATTTGTATGCTAAACAAACCTGGAGCGAACTGAAAAATCACCCCTCTTTAAGGTAGTGAACTGGAAACTAGTCTAGCATTCACAGGAAACTATTAAATGTATTATCTTACTTTTGGTACTTTAACTTTTGAGAGAGGTGTATAGACTACGCCTGATAAATTTAGAGGCTTTAATATTCTTGAAAGCTTTGATCTTCCTGATTGATTGTTTAACTTTTAAGTGATAATATGAAAATTATAAAACCTTGGGAATTGATTGCTAGGCATTGATAAAGCATTAAAACATTTCTGTTTTATGTGCAATGCAGGAGAACAAGAGCCTTATTTTTCCCTTGTCATGGTTTGTTTTTATGGCTTTCAGATAAATGGCAATAAACAGAATGTAAAATTCACTGTGAACAAAAGGATGTTGCAAACATTATGGGAACGCATGCTGGGTTATTCATGTCTTTAGACTTCCAAGTGGGGTCATTCAGGGGAATGTTACTGAATATCTGAGAACTGAAATAAAATGTGTTGATTTGGAAGCATTCTTCATCAGTTTTTCTTTTAATTATTTTGTTTTCCGGCTTAATGATACACCAGAAGTTAAAGCTTTATGTTTGGCATTATATTCAATTCCATGGCAACTGATTTAAAACAGTGTAACCCTTCACAGAGGGTCATTTGGAAGTCTGTTCCATTTCACACTGAAGGCAGTGGAAAAATCTATTTTAATAAGACATTCAAAAGACTTTGTCTTGAAATATAGAGTTGCCTACTAAAAAGATGTTAGTCTTTTTATGGCAGGAAATTCCTGTTCTAGACTTTTTCTTTTGTTCAGCTATGTTTCCAGAGGTAAACTTCTATGAGAATGATTGGCAGTAACAACACATGATGTGATAAGTTACTGTTTTGCATCTTATGTAAAACTGATTAACTAAAAATTCAACTGCTGTGGAATCTAAAATGTACTGTGCAAGGGCAGCTTGCTCCCTAAGCTGAACTATTGCTTTACCTTTGGGTTCTTGACTTGGCAGCTGGGATGTTCATTTCAGTTCAATTGGATATATAAGGCATTTAATTTTTGTAAATGCTTTAGGTATAACTTTAAGAATTCAAATTGCCATATTTAAATGATCTGAGCTGCTCTTACTTTTTAGCTATCACAGAGTTTTACCGGAGTATCTGCGACGTTTCACAGTGGGCTGGGTGTATACAAGAATCCTTTCTCACGGTGTTGAAATTTTGCAGAGGCTTCACATGTATAAGGTAAAGTGGTAAATAGGAATCTGTGTTTAATGGAGCATTGTACATCAATTTACTTTTCTGATGTGGCCGGAAAATAGTGACAATGTTTGCCACAGATTGCTACAGTTCTAGTAACAGGTCACTTTTAAAGGAAAAGAGCCCTTTTTTGTGCTGCTTTAGAAAGTTTTAAATTGTTTTGATTTCTGCTTATGCTTTGTAGATTTACCATCTGTAATACACCATATTGCTGAGATATGCTTATTTCATTATTTAAAGATACCTGTGCTTCACTAGATTTGGTTATTGTTTTTAAGTAAGAAAAATCTTAGAAGAGAAGTCTTCTGAAATCTCTGCCTCTTCACCTTGGGAGATTACATCCCTAAAGGTCTCTGACTTATATGTTAAAGCAAATCAGATTATTCTGAAAAAGACTTTGCTTCTGCAAAAAGGCAACTAGTAATGCTCGGATATTTTTCATATACAATAAGGAATACAGAAAGGGTAAAAATATTAAAATTTTGGCAGTTAACCTTTAAGTTTACATAAAAATATCTCTATTCTAGAGGTTTTAAGATACATCTATGCACTTGAGTATATTGGGCAGTGGAGTAAAAAGCAGGTTTGAATTGTGCAGAGACAAAGTTTTATAGTATCCATTAATTAGAAGGGAAGGTGACAAGCTAACTTGCCCTTGGCTTTGTAACTCAATTAATGAGCATCCCGTGCCATTGCTCAGGAGGCCGTGCAGGAGCTGCAGACCCTCCTGGCTCAAGATGTGTACTGTGCTGACAGCAGAGGGAGATGGTGGGACCGTCTGGCTCTCAATCTACATCAGCACCTGAAAAACACTATGAAGGTATCTGCTGTAAAGCTGGAAACGCTGCACTTGTTGTCTGAAAACATGTTTTAAAAAACACATCTTATGAAAAGAACAGTGGAATAGGATCTCCTAACAGTGTAGGTATTGGTGGGAATGCCAAGGTCAAGGCAATCAGTTCCTCCTAAGAAAATGAATATTGAGTGTACCTCATCCTTGGTTGACCTGGTATGCTGGTTTTTGCATTTACATTTTTGTGCTCCTTAAATGGATTGTTCTTGAGCAGACAGATGTCCATGGGTCTTTCTGAGTTCCTGCTGGTTCCTTTGCTCTTTGCCAGGCCGTGGGCTGCATTAGGAAGGGGCTGGCAGACCCCTGTGTCCGCACTGGGCACCGTCTGTCCCTCTACCTGCGGGCCCTGCGCATCAGAGACTCGCCGAGCTGCAGGCAGGTCAGGGGCCTGCTCCAGGAGCTGCCAGTCATCACTGTGCAGGATGTGCCACATGTGAGTAAGGGTGCTGCTGGTGTCTGGGAAATAACAACTCATGAGGTCTTTTTTACTCTTGACAAGAGAAGATAACCTGGGAGAGTCTTGTTATGTGCTGCGCACCAGCCTCTGACTTACTTGTGCTGCAGGAAAATGAATACAAATGTGTTCCTAAAACAAAAGCCTCTCATAAGCAAATACTTCTATGTTGGTCAGCTTCATAGCTGAAGTTAGTCAACCGTACACTGGTTAAATTCGAATTGCTTTATATGTGTTATGAGCCTGATCAGCTGTAAACTCCACTAATGTAACAGTATGTGCTTGGAGCCTTCCTGAGCAGATCAGTGCATTGTGTCTGGTGTCTGCAAGCCAAGCATTTTGTGTGCAAGAAAAAGTAATACTAGCTTCCTTAGCATGTTGTCGCATTAGATTAGTGGCTAAAAAATGCCAGTGTTCTTTTAGTAACCTTTGGAAGGTATGCACTCTAAATATGTATTGTGCAGATATTCAGTGGGGTGCACCTGCATCATATTGGAATGGATTTTTTTAACTCTTTCTTTTCCATACCATCATGAAGATAATTCTGTCTGGTCAAAGTCAGAGCAGAGCCTCACTTGTTCTCTCTCCTCACCACATCTCTCCCTACAGCCCTTCTTTGTGTCAGTCCAGAATCAGTCTCCTCAGCCTTCTGTATTCTTTCCTCCTGGTCCTGCATATAGAGAGGCTACTTGCCACCTGCCCAGGATTTTTGCTAGACATTTTTTTTTTCTGAAAAATTTGCCATTTTATGAAAGCTAAACTGAATGATTTCACAAAGTATGGCAGGGTAAATTTTATTCAGTTGATTTTTGGAAACAAGTCTAGTTCTGATTTTAAGAAAACTAAAAAGGAGGAATATGTGTTTTAGGCAAGATCCAAATACTTAGGCTAAAGCTTTTTAAATGTGATACTGGAAAGTAACCAGATGTTTTATTATGTTCAGGTTACAATCAATGGAAAGATGTGTCCTCAGACGGGAATGGGAAAATCCGTATTTCTCATGGAGGATGTTGGTGATGAAGAAGGAGGCGAAGGCTGCAGTGTATCCACAGTCATGTGCTCAGTTGAGGAGCTGGCATTAACTCATTACAGGAGGAATGGTTTTGATCAGGGTAACAGTACCATTTATTTGGGCATTTTACAGTAAAATAACTGTGGGAGTAAAGAACCTATTTCCTAATCAGTTTAGTTAATAGACCAGTTTTAGCTGATTTCATTAGACTGGTTTTAGTCTGATTCTGTTTCTTTCCCAAATGCCTCTAATACATCATTTCCTTACCAAAATGCTCTAACATGTATTTTCAAACTGACCTGCTTCTTGGCCTTTAATTATTTGCTGCCTGCATGTACCAAAGGTGTTTTTGAAATTTGTATTTCTTCTTTATCTTCATATAAAATTGCTTACTTTGCCTTTCTTACCCGTGAACAGCTATTTTATTTCTTAAGGGTAAAATGTTAGCATTGTCATTTAAGGGAATGTCACCAAGGAAAACTGATTTTTGCTACTAGATGAAGATAAAAACAGTATATACTACTAGCAAGACGCTTGGCAATTTTTTTGAAGGCTCTATTAGTAGTTGTTCCTATATTTTTACAACTTAGGAGCTGTGAAAAGCCATGGACAAGTAAGAATATATAGATCTGTTTTACAGGAAAAGAAGCAATATGCAAACAGACAGAGAAGGTTATTTTTTAAGATAAAATTTGTATCTTTATATAAAATAGATATTTTAATATAGTTTTATATTATTGATATGTTCCAGAATACCATTGCAGGAAAAGTGGCTGTATCAGAAAAGAGTAAATTAGAAGGTGACAGTATTTAGAATTTAGAAGAACTGTGCTGAAATCCCCTCTCAGTTCCTCACTCCCACCCTCTCACCATCGATCTTCATGGCTCAGCAGTTTTGAGCACACAATGGCCATGTGTGATTTAGGGCTGGGCCTGAGGAACCAGAATTCCCAGTCCAGCACTAAACACAGCCCAGAGCACACATGGTCTCCTCTCTCATCTGTGTGATGTGTCATACATGTATAATACACAGACACTATATATTATATAGTACAGACAGCACAGATATCCTGTGATCTATAGGTATGACATGTCATTCATGGCTGAGCTTCGCGAACGAAGATTTGGGAAGGCTCTATCCACATTTGCTACAGGCACGTTGGTGGCTTATGAGGCCAATACGAGACAGACATATCTGATTGCAAAAGGCACAACAGAAAGACTCCTTAGATGGTGTATTCTGCAAGACACGGTTCTTTCTGCGTTGCCTTTTTTCCTCGAGAGTGATCCTGCGTGTGTTCTCAAAGGCATCTGCAGTGTTATAGATGGTGTGTCTCCAGGCCTCCCGATTGGAGGCCAGAGTAGACCAGTTATGGTGATCAATATGGCCAAGGCTGAGATGTTGTTTCAGGGAGTCCTTGTATCTTCTCTTCGGGGCTCCTCTCATGTGGCAGCCAGTGGCAAGTTCACCATAGAGCAGGATCTTAGGGAGGTGGTTGGTCCTTCATCCTGGAGACGTGCCCTGCCCAGCACAGCTGTGTTCTCAGTAACATGGCCTCAATGCCTGTGACTGCTGCTTGTTCTAGAACAGATGTATTGGTCACATAATCTGACCAGTGGATGTTTAGGATTGTACGGAGGCAGCGTTGATGGAAGCGTTCCAGGAGACGCAGGTGGTGGCGGTAGATGACCCATGATTCGGAACCATACAAGAGAGTAGACAGCACTATGGCTCTGTAAACACTGATCTTGGTGCTTTTCTTCAAGTGTTTATTACACCATACTCTTTTGTGGAGTTTTCCAAAAGCTCTCTATGCCTTTGCTAATCTGTTGTCTATCTCTGCATCAGTCTTACCATCCAAGGAGATGAGGCTGCCTAGGTAATTAAACTGTTGGACTGATTTGAGCTCTGATTGGCCAATGGTGATGTGGGGATGATGGGGGACTTCCTGAGGTGCAGGTTGATGGAGAACCTCTGTCTTCTTTAAGCTGACTTCCAGCCCAAAGAGCTCAGCAGCATCTGCAAACAGGATGTTAAACGCTGCGGAGCTGCTTCTGTGTGGGCAACAAGGGCAGCATCATCAGCATAAAGCAGCTCCCGGAAAAGATGGTTTAAGGTCTTGGTGTGGGCCTTCAGTCGCCTTAGATTGAATAGGCTTCCATCAGTACGGTATCGAATGTAGATCCCGTCCTGATCATCAAGGTCTGCTGTGGCCCTTTGGAGCATCCTGCTGAAAAAGACTGTGAAAAGGGTTGGTGCGAGAACGCAGCCTTGTTTCACACCAATCTTAATTAAAAAGGGCTCAGAAAGTGTGTTACCATACCTGACTTGGCCATGCTGATCGTCATGGAGTGAGATGATCATTTTAAGGAACGTGGGGGGACAACCTAAACATTCCAAAATCTGCCACAGACCTTTTCTGCTCACAGTATCAAAAGCCTTGGTGAGGTCGACAAAGGTTACATAGAGACCTTTGTTCTGTTCCCTGCACTTCTCTTGCAGTTGTCTGAGAACAAATACCATGTCTGTGGTGCTCCTGTTGGCTCTGAAACCACACTGACTTTCAGGTAGAATTCCTTCTGCTATAGTGGGTATTAGTCTGTTCAAGGTATGACATGTAACATTAAATATAATATCATAGATAATATATTGTACTAATAGGCTAAGAACAGAACATACCTCAAGACCTGAGGTGGAGGTTGGTGGGAGCTCTGGGAGCCACCTGGTCCAACCCTGTGCTCAATAGCCAGCTGCCCTGGACCATGGCCAGCTTCTGAGTATCCCCAAGGATGGTGACTCCACAGGCTCTCTTGGCAACCTGTACCAGTGCTTTGTTACCTTCACAGTGAAAAATTTTCTTATGTTTATATATATATATGTATCTCTGTGTGTTTTATATATATATATTCTTATATATATGTGTCTCCCTGTGTTTAATAAGTGACAGGGATGAAAAAAAAAAAGATGATGGAAAAGCAGTCAGCTCTACCAGACTAATGCTCAACCAGTATTCCTCAAAAATGTTATATATTGAGAAAAAAAGTTATATAAAAATGGGGTATATTACATATATACACACATGTATACACACATATATGTGTACATACACATATACACACACAAATATACTGATACATTTATGTATATATATGTATATTTATATAAATGTAATAAAACCAGTTTTATATATCCAAACATTTGGGTTTTCATTGTGTGTTCACTGGCTGGGCATTGCTCAGCTGGTGAGTGCTTTTTCCAGCACGTGTGTGTATACATATGGATACATACTTGGGTGTGTACAGCTCCATATGTGTGTGTGTATGCATACATGTATGTCTATGTGTATAATATATAGCATTTCTATCCATATAAACTTTTTGGTGTCAAGATGTTGCTTTTTAATGTTACAAAAGTTGTGTATTTAAAAATTGTCCAAGTAAGCCTTGTTGTGGAAGGGCAGTGATCCAGCCCTGGGCTGTGACTGAAGGCCCCTGGCCAGGCAGCAGCAGGTGCTGGCAGAGGGGTCAGGAATAAAGTGGATTTCCAGTGTTCTGTAATGGGAACATGTGCTGACTTCAGCTGGGCAGGAACCTGAGCATGGTGTCCTGCTTTGGGTTGGGGTGGTTTCATTCTTCCTCAGGTTGCTGTAGAAATTGATGTTTCCATTTTTATTGAATTTTGCCCTTTAGGTATTCATGGGGAAGGCTCAACGTTTCTTACACTGTATGGGATTCTAATGTGGGATATCATTTTCATGGATGACATACCCGATGTTTTTAGAAATTCCTATCAGGTAACTTTGAAAGGCTTTCTTTAGTTACTGTATTTACCCATTGCTGTAGACTCAGTAACCACATTAAAATCTTATTTGGGATTGGATTAGCATTTTATTCTGAGGGAATTTCCAGACAGATCTTGGTTTTTCCTTCATTTTATTATTTGTTATATTGGGTTTATTACTAAGTTGTCCTCAGTAACCTAATTGCTATGTCAGTCTGGATTTACAGTCTGATAGGGTGAGATTCATCTGGTTAAATGCATGTGTCCTACAGCTGAGCTCACCGGGCAAAATTTCCATTATAGTTAGTGGAACACTGCTATACCACAGCCTCGTTCATCTCCTTTGAAGATGACACATTCCATTAAAAAAAAAGAGAAAGAAAAAAGAAAAAAAAAGAAAAGTCTGTTTCTTTTTAGTAGCCTTTTAATGGTTGTCACATTTTTAAACTTAGGTTTGTTAACACCCCCACTCACCCCACCCCGCCATGTTTATGCTTTTGGTACCATCCCTTCTTTTTGACAAAGCAACAAACAAGAAAACAATACTGTGATTAGAAAACTTGATCCCATTTGCTAAGAAAACCCTAAAAATCCATCTCAAATGTTACAGAACGAAAAAAGGCTAGATAATTGTCTTCTTTCTTCTAGCTTAACTCATTGCTTCTAGTTGAATTCCTGGCCAAGAGGGAGACCAGAAAATGCTGTTCTCTTCCTTAACTGGATTTATTTGTACTGGAAGAAATTAATATTTTATATCAGTTTGAGATACCTTAAGTAGAAAATTCTTATTTTAGAGGTGAAATGTATGGGTTATTCTTTTGTTTCTTGAGCAGTCTGAGGTAGGAGTAGAAATCCTTGTGGCTGAGCTGAAACCCCCCACGGTCATAGACAGGCAGGAAGGGCACTGCTGTTGCCCCAAAGGCCTTACAAAAACTGTGCCATAGAATTCGTACCAGTGGCTCCTTCTGTGGAGTATCTGCTGGTCTTGCTGAAGCTCTATGAATGTTGTGTTAAAAGCAGATGTTCTTTCATACAATCTTGTATGCATATTATACTTAAAAAAAAAATGAAAAGCTAAACCCCCAAAACTTGTATGTTTATGTGTTTATTACAAACCCAGTATTTACAGATCACTTGCAAATTTATTTTTTAAACTAGTTTTTCCTTATTAATTCAGAGCAAAGCTATCATGAGCATCAGGCATAAACAAGGATGAGCTAGCTGATAGCTCACCCCTCATTCAGTCATTACCAGGCTGTATTTTTGTGGGATTATCTGTGGCAGCAGGTTGTGTAAGGCTGAAATGTGCCATTTGCTAAGCACTCTGCATTTGCTGTTGAAAAGCTGGCCCAGCACTCAGGTACTGCCTGTTCCAGCAGTGTTCAAACCTGAACTGCTGCAAGGGCTTTACACACTGGGATGTTCAGAGCTGGGTGTAAAAATGTAATTTAATAAATGTTTATCTGGTGGACATGTTCAAGTTAGATCAGTGTTTGAGTGAATTTGTAGTTAAGAAAAGTATGAAGTAGGGCATTGTCTTTCTGCCATCTGTGCTGGCAGCTCCTCAGAGCTGCATTTACGTTTTTACACAGACGTCCCCCCTGGATTTGTACACTGACAGCTTCTATGAGAGCAGGAGGGATGTCATCGAGGCCAGACTGCAGCAGCTGCACTCAGCCTCCCCAGAGACACTGGCAAAGTTGATTGCTGACGTCTGGACCACTCAGGAGGGAAAAGCAGCAGCACTAGTGAGCTGGGGACGTTTTATTTCCCTCCAGCAAGCCCAGGTAAGTAACTGTTGCCCAGCATGGGGCCTCTGATTAGGGTTGTCATTCGATCACACATGGCAATGGTGTGTCACAGGTTGTACTGAGGCACTGGGGGAGGGAGAGTGGTGGGAGGGAGGAGTTGGGAATAGGGAGACTTGGGCTGAAGTCCTTGCTCAAGTACTGTTACAATTTTCTGACATGGTCACTCTTCCTGCAACAGCAGTTGGGAACATAGCAGGAAATTGCTGTAGAAAACATCTACTTATGCTTCCTGTTACACCAGACTAAACAAAAAGCTGAGCTGGGCCATACACTAGTCTCATGAGGGTCGGGAAACGGCTCTACAGGAAATTAAAGACAAATCCAACCAACCACCAAAGCCTCTCTTGCAGAGCCTTGTCTCCTGCCTTGGAGGAATGTTCCTGAGCGGTGTTTTCAGGCGACTGTCCAAAGACCTGCGTCACTGCCGGGGAGGTCTGCCTGACCTGGTCGTGTGGAGCACACACACCCAGCACTTCAAGGTACCTTGGGAGGGCATGGAAATACTCAGTGCTCAGCTGGGAACTGTCAGCTGTCAGCCCATCCAAACTGTGCCCTCCTGTCGTGGTGCAGGTAAAGCTGCTGCTGGGCTGCCAGCAGCCACGGCTAGCAGTGGGTGGTTCTCTGCTATTTCATCACACTGTGCTGTAACTTTAATGGGCATAATCAGAATCAGCAGGAATGAACACTGGCTATGTTGGTGTGGAATAGATCTTTGATTAAAATTAATGTAAAGCAGTGTTAGCAATCAGTCATACCCACTGACTGTGGGTAGCAAGGAGTTCGACTGGCACCACTTAAAACTTGACTGAGTCTCTGAGAACTATGTCAGGGTCTGCCACAAAAACTGAGTAAACAGTCATGGTTGGTGTTTTGCATGGTAGAGGAATAGGTACTAGGAGACTACTGGACATCTCACCTGCTGAAGCAACTTGTTTTTATAAAAGAGAGCTGAATAGCAGAAATTAGTTCTCTGGAACACCTGAGTAAGTTGTGTCAGTCTCAGCTGGAACAGGTGAGGTTGCAGGTGCTTGATTTTTGAGTATGAGAGATCTTCATTCACGAGGGCCTCTGTGTTTTGGTGGCTATTTACTATGTAACAGCCATAAAATAATACTTATTCTGTGGGAATGATGCTGCAGTTCCTGCACAGGCACACTAGTAACCATGGCCATTTGCTCGCAGCTGGTGGAGGTGAAGGGCCCCAAGGACCGGCTGTCGCCCAAGCAGATGCTGTGGCTGAGCGAGCTGCAGCGCCTGGGAGCGGCCGTGGAGGTGTGTCACGTGCAGGCCGTGGGGGGCAAGAGCCAACGCCTCAGCTGACAAACAGCTTTGACCAGGGGGGTAACACACCACTGCCTGCTGCTTATTAAAAATAGTTTCTTCTAAAATTCTGGCTCCTTGGAACATTACTGTGTCCTTTTTAGCACAAAGCATACTATGGTGCACTTTGAGAAGACTGATTTACTGCACATCACTTTGGGTTCAGAAGAGCAGAGCCTTTCTCTTCCATCCACAGTTCATAACTTATTCTATGAGAGGTAATCCAGGGGGTTTGCCCAGTGAAGAAAAACAGCTGCCATCACACTTGTACCTCCTGAGAACATCCTGTTCAATATAAAATCTGGGGCATCAAGTCCTGGTCGTTTCTGTGTTGCCTGTGTAGCTCAAATTCATCCTAGTGTGCAAATTTCCTTGCAAGGCAAGCACAGCACCTTTACAGGAGTGTCAGGTTCTCTCCTTGCCCCCACTTAGTACTATGTGTTTGAATTTTGCACTTGAATGTAAAAAAATACAGGTGCTCAGTGATGGCAGAGAGCAAGGCATAAAACTTCAATGCTCTTTTAATGCACTGCTCTGTATGAAAGGACAATTTATTTAACAGGCCCTTCTGCTGTAAATATCTGTATTACCTGTGTAAAGGGAAATGTTTCTGGTAGAGATGGGAGTTGGTCAGTGCCAACGTGACCACACTCATTTGCAGCGTGTCACTCATTACAGTCAGTTTTACCCCACATGAATTGATGTGTTTGCTCACTCAGAAATATGTCAGTCACTTGGAATAGAATTAAAAAGATTATTTCCCTTTTAGGACACCAGAATCCTGCAGGTTTCTCTCAATTTTAACACGCAGCCGACATCTCTTCTCTGGAGTCTTCATTCTCATACTGCTTTTAGAAATTCTGCTTACCATGCAAACAGCAGACTCTGTAATAGAATACAGCAAGGAATAAAGATAATTTGCACATTATTTTTATTAATCATCTTTCTTCAGCAGAGTGTCCCTACTTTTCTTGGCAAAAACAAACACACACCCCCTATTTTATTGTTAGAGGAAGTGAAAGAAAACTGCCTGAAGTTCACTGTGGAAAGGTATGAACTTTTATTGACTCTAATTTACTTCACATTCACAACTCAGCATCAGGATTTTATCATCTTCCTGCCACTGCTTTTTTTTACTCAGTAAATCATTATCAGGCACAAAGGTTTTAGTTTCAGTTGAAATGGTGAACTCTAAACCAATCACAGCAACAGCATTAGAAACCTAATGCCTACAGCAATTTGAGGTACAGATTTCTGTCTCTTTGTTAGAGGCAAATTTAAGATTTCATCCTTTGCTTAAATATATGTTAGAATTTTTTTGGTTTTAATGTTTTTCCCTCTGAGAGTAACCAAAACATTTGCCCAACTTGCTACATTTTCATAAGAATACAAGGCAGTTATATCAGAGTGGTACTGCAGGCCTGGGCAGACACCCCTCCCCCTTCTCCCTGCATTTCTGGAAGGAAAGCCACGTCTCTGATCCAGCAGTGAAGGGAGGGCGAAGGTACCACCACAGTCAGCTCCACCTCACAGGAACTGAGGGTCACTAAAGCCCCTCAGCTTCTGAGCTCCCTGCAGGGGTTACAGGGTGGTGCAAAGCCATGGCACAGCCAGGAACAGCTGGAATAACCCAGCTTTTCTACCAACAGACAAAAAAGGATGAGCTTCTTGGTAGCTTTTCTATTCTTGCAACACCAAAATGGCATTAACAGTATCTTGTTTTAAATGGTGAACAGAAATTAAAATTTGAAAATGTGTATGTATATATATATACACACACATATATATATACACACTTGCATGTCAGTATTCTGTACACAGACATTAAAGATACCTACTGAAACCCCAAAATTGCTTTTGAAAGTTATTAGAGCAGTCCCTGCTGACTTGATAAGGCAACTGTGCAGTGGAGGATATTTCAAAATTAACATCTAGTACCTGTCTTCCAAAAGTAAATTAAAAAGTGTTAAGATGTGTAACTTAAGAGGAAGATCCAACACCCACAGGCACACGCTCACTCACACAGACACAGCAGTTGCTCAGGTTCCTTGGAAGGCAAGGCCATGGACACCAGAAGCAGAACCTTGTCCACGTGTCCAGGGAAAGGTGGATCCCTTCCCCTCCTCTCTGCAGGAGGTGCCCCCTCTCAGCCTCTGCTTACCTGACTCCCCATTTTGAATGGTATAAAAGGTCTTTTTAAATCTGTTTGGCAAATACATATTTCAACAGGTTCTGTTTATTTTAAAGGCATATTATTTTTAGCCCCCTCCCATGCTATATATATAAAATACAAAGACCCTCTGCAGCATCTGTACACATCTTAGAACTGAAATGTAAAAATGTCTGTAATTTCCTTATAAAAGACAATTCTGTTTAAATATAGTACCCATTTTTTCCCCCAAAGGGTAGTAGCCTTAACTTTTTTTTTTAATTCCACCAGCTGCTTTTGTGGGGTATTTATTTACACATTTTTGGTACCTTTAAACCAAAGAAGTTATACTTTTAAAGACAAAAAAATATATATAGTCAACTGTCATTTTAAAAGAAAAAAAATTGGTACCAAAAGACACTAAGCACACAGGTTGAGGTCTGTTATGTCAAGTATCAGGCCAGGGAAAGCAGTAAGCTAATGGGAAAAAGGAAATCACAAAAGCAAACTAATACAAATGTTTGAATAATGAACTGACCAAGTGAGATGACTGCTCCAGCAAGCTTGGAAATAAACTCAACTGGTTTGTGGACCATGTAACATGTTCAGCCCATCTTGCAGCAGAATTAGGCAGTTGAGGTGAATACATGTTTTTTCCTCACAAACAGTTGACCAGAAGGATCTGGCTTTGTCTGCCATCAGCCCTGTGCCCACGTGCAGACACGGCTGTGTGTGCACACAGAGCTTGCACAAACAGGGGGTTGGGAGTTCCCAGAGGAGCCCACCCCTCTCACAGCTCACCCTGGCCATGGCCCTGCCCATCCCTCTGCAGCCCCAGCAGTGCCAGCACAGCCCCGGAGCGCAGGAACAGCCCGGGACACTCGGTGCTGTGTGTGCTGGGCTCTTCCAGCACAAAGCACCTGCGAGGCCACTCTAGATGCAAGTTCTCTGAAACAAATCCTTGAGCGACATCAGACATCCCACCTGTGCTCTGTGACTCAGGCTGTGCTGAACACCAGTTCAGTCGGACAAACAAAAAAAGGTCTCCAAATCCTATCCCTCTCCACCTTTTTTAAGCTCTGCTACACTGTGTATTACCATCATGCAGCTTTCTTCTTTCCCCACAAAAACTGAGAACAGCTTTTAGTCAATCATGTAAGGCCTTTGGTGCTTTCACTTGCGAGCAGGGGCTCAGTGTGAGTTCAACAGCATTTGTGTTTTACACAGACATGGTTTACTGTGAAATACAGCCTTGCTGGGAAGGCAGATGACAGAAGCCTCAACCTCCGACAATGACCATCACTATTCCTCCACCCTCCCAATATTCTTTACACTCCTGCCTTTCTCCCTGGGAAACTTGAGTCCTTTTCTGGCACAGCATCCAGGGAGAGGTATCATTTAAAAGGTTTTAGCACAGCAAGTAGGCTGCTGCATTAAGCAGAGGGAGGCTGTTGGATTTAAATCCCTCAAGCAGTGCTTGTCCACTGCACTGTCCATGTGGCTGTGCACAAATGCAAAAAGAAGGCACCACTTCCTGCTCTTCCAGCCCCTGCCCACAGTGACTGCAGCACCACCACCCCTCGTGGGGCTCCCGACACTGACTGAGCCTTCCGTTCTGGAGCCCAGCTTGGCTCAGGGGGGAGTTCTGCTGAAAGCTACTCATCCTACAAAAAAATGAGATGGTTGGCAGGGATGGGAATCTGGGCAGGGATATAATGCTGAGGATTTGAGATGCCTATATAAAAAAGTGAGAATCTCATCTGGACGCCTGTTGTTTCCAGAAATTGAGAGGGGGAGGCAGGAGATGCAACAAGAACTTGCCACAACAATCTATTGTGAAAAGTTGGGGGCTGTCAGTTGCATTAGAGTAATCTTGCTACTGTGTCCTCCCAACTAAAGGCACTTCTAAAGCTACTACAATACCATATCTACAGTAAAATGTTTTAAGGTTAACAGTGTATTGTCCTGACCTGGATTTCTACAGTCTGAAGTCAAGCTCATGACAAAGAGCACAAATCTGACTAATTGTTCATGAACACATTTTGTGGAGAGAAAGAAAAAGGAACAATCCCTCTCATGGATACACACTGCATTAGCAGATGTGTAGGGTGATAAGTCACAGAACATTAGTGTGTTGTATCTATGCATGAACGTATTCTTCCTGAAGAGGCTGTCTGACAAAATAGTATGTTCCCAGATTTCAGCTGTCATTTCATGTCCACTGCACTGCTTTGGCTTTCCAAGCTGTTTTATCAAAGGGTCATGTCAGTCACTGTCTGGGAAAAAAGGATATTTCAAGCAGAACCCACATTAATGACCACACCAAGCCTCTCAATTAGCTAATGAAGCGCTCCGTTGCATATAATGAGCCAAACCCCAAAGGACAGGGGGAGTTAGGGACCAGAAGCCCCAGCAGACGAGAACTCTTGAAGACAAAATTGTGCGATTTGAAGCATGACTTGCCTTGCTTTTAAATATCTGTGCAAAACTTACGTAAGGTTTGTATATAAAAATTATTACAGCTTTCAGTGCTGCATTTAGCAGTGTTAACTTAGAAAAGACAAAATGATATGCTGTATTCTCCCCAAACCTTTAAATCACACCACCTCAGTCTTCATTTGCCAGCGTCTCAGTGGACAGCCAGATTTTGGCACCACTTAAAAATTTGCTTAATGGTGTTCCCAAAATGCTCCGTCTGCAGAGGTTCCCTACAGGAGAAAAGGGGAATGAGGAGGAGAGAAAGTCTGGGGCACCCGAGGTGTCATTGAAACCACTGGCTCTGAAGTACATCCTGCTTTGATCCAGTTCTGTGCAGTGGCCTTGCAAGGAAGAGTTGCTTTTGTAGTGCCGAAGGTTCCGGTTCAACATGTCCACTTCATCCGCCAGCACAGACACCCTGTGGAAGGCGGTGACGGAGCCACCGTGGCTGATCTGGGCCTCGGGAACCCAGCGGAAGTAGCACAGTTTCCACAGTTTGATTTGTGTTGCAGAGAGGTGGGGCAGGATCAGGCCGTGCAGGTCCACAGGCTTTGCAAACCAGTCCCTGAAGAACTGCTCCCTGCTGTGGCTCGGGCTCTCTGCTGGTTGGAAAAGGTCTGGCTTCAGTTTTAGTATCAGAGAGTTTCTCCTTGGAAGGAACTCCTGCTCCCCAATGATCCCGTTCTTTAATGCTGGGGGAGCACCTCGCAGTGTGGAGCTGTAGTTTTTCTGCAGAAAAGAAATACTGGTAATTTTCCAGTGTTACATTCATTTGAATAGCAGATTTCCCCGAGCTGCCAGAGTGCATCATCCAGAGAAATGCTGCAACCTTTAAACACTTCTGAGCTTGTGAGTCACTACTGCAGGGCTCACAGGGCAAACTCTGGCTGCTTGGACCCTTCAAAAGAAATAAATATGTTTTGTAGCAACAAATTATTGACTTACAGTCAGTATTTACTGAACATACTGACAACTCTGGGGGGGGAAAGTGGCATGCCATCACTTTTCCATAGGTGAGATTATGCAAATGTTGGCAGTGAGCTCAGTCACATCAGAAGATGTCCCAGAACACGAGGCTCGACAATTTACATCTTTGCTTCTACAGAAAATCATTTCTTTTGGCTGGGAAGCCAAGGAAATTGAGGCTCCTCCTGTTAAACCACGGGTGTAACACAGGCTGTACCTGCAGCTCTCCCAGCAGGAGCCCCTGTGGGTGGGCACAGGCCCAGCCTAGCCCCGCCCTGCCCAGAGAGCTCAGTTACCTTGGAGCGTTTGAAGGATTTCATGGCCCCGTTGTGCACACACGGCGCGCTCTTCCCCACGTACAGCGGGTTGTGGAACACCAGGCGGTCCCGGCTGGAGAACTGAAGAGACCAGTCCCAAACACAAGGGAACCTGAGGCCTTTCTCACCACCCAGCTGAATGTTTTTGCTTATAGCGAATTCCTGCAAGAAGTTAACATGCAGGGATGTCATTTAGAGGCAGCACAACAGAGCAGTGAGACAGCTGGAGAAAACAGCTGTGCCCTGTTCTCATTTGGGCAGTTACTTTTTAGTGATACTGTTTGCTTACTCCTAATCCCCAAACTGTGATTTTGAGAATATACTAACAGTCTCTCAATGCTCTAATTCTTTGTAAGGTGGCTACCTAAAATTTTAAAAAGAAAATATTTAACAAAATAAGTATGTTTCACTTTTATCAGCCATCAAATGTTTTCTACACAAGGTTCTGTTCAGTTTTCAAAAACAAATTAAGTGTTCAGTCTTCTAAGTGTTTTCACAGTGCATTGCTATCTGAACTTTATGCAGTATTTCCAACTTTTTCAACTATTTAAACAATTACGTCAAGAGATTTCAAAGTTTGCCTGAAGCGTGAAATTCTATTTATTGCCTGTCATTCTGCTTTATCAGTTCCAGATATAGATTTGCTTCCTTGAGGAATACAAACAATAATGTACAATAGCAATGCTTTCCTAGGAAAAAACAAAACCGAAATTCAATAGACTTTCTTCTTGAACAGTTCCTGTCTCTGCAAAGATCACCTGAAAGGACATTCTGATCATCTTCATCTGGGGACCTGACTGTTGTCCCCAAACAGAGTGTGACATTTTGCAAAGCACACAGGAGCAACTGAGCTGGGGCGCTGTTGCTTCCAGAGGGGCACAGGGCAGGTGGCAGAGCTCCCACTCACTCACAGTGCTCTCCTTCACGCGCTGGTGGGGGCAGTTGAAGAGGAAGGTGCCGAAGAGCGAGATGCGGGCGCTGTCGTGCAGCAGAGTCAGGTACACCTCGGAGAACTCAAAGGCTGCTGGGTACTGCTCCAGCAGCTGCCACACGCAGTCAAGAAACATCAGGAACAAAGGAGACTGGGAAAAGAAGCAGGGGATTATTAGATTTAACAAAGGCTTCTCCCAGATCATACTAATTTGTTTGCAGTTATTGCTCCATTAAGGGTATTTAGCTGCATCTCTGGTACATTACTCGACAGGGTAAACTATTTGAAGTCTTGTATTTTTTATGGTTCTATGCAACAATAACACCCTGTATTCCTGTTTAGCCACTTGCTTTATCAGAACTACCTTTGCACAGCTTTCCCTTCTCTCTTCTTTCCTTCATACTTATGTAGCTGCAGAAATACTTCCTGCCACCTGGATGTCCCTCATCATTTCCAAATTAGTGCTTGTATGAGCCTTCCTTACCTCTTGGCTTTGTATTTACAATTTATATACTTCCTTCTTGTTTAAAATGACCAGAGAGCTTATGATTCAGCCATGTTAACTTCTCACTACATTTCGAGCTCTTTCCATAGCAGCCCATGAATGGCAAAAGCATAAACCATCATTTATGTAAAGCTTTAGAAACATTTTCCTCTTCCCAGTTTCAGTCTTCAGTATATCCCTTGCAAGGGTCAAATATCAGCTTTCTCACTATTTCCCTCTGGGCAATAGTTTCTTTATCCCTTCCCCCATTTTCTCCTCTCAGTGCTCAGTGTCCTCGGTTTGTCTGTCGGCTCCACACTCTGAGGATATTGCTTTTCTAAGATTCTTGGGCACTGTCCCTGAAAAAGGTTGCTAACCTGGGTCCTCTGTTCTTCCAACCGCAGTTACAAGTCTCTCCTTTGCAATGAAGAGGCCAAATAAGACTGGCTGGAAATGCTGGGAATGAAGCCCTGCATTAGCCTCTGCAGATCCCCCTGGAGCTGTGCCAGCTCTGAGCCTGCGGTGCTTCTGCACCAGCCCAAAGCTTTGAGGGCACTCCACAGGGATCAGACTTTGCATCCAGAACACCAGGGATGAGAGCAGAGATCGCTGGTAAAACAAACAGCAAAACTAACCCCTGTAAACCCACTCCTCACCTCCTTTTATTTTAATTTTAAATGTGAGCTGTGCTGGTGTTTGTAACAGTGGGACCTTTTCATGTGGAACACTGAAGCAAAATAAAAATCCATTTGATTGCACCTGGTGTTTCATTGATTCTCACATGGCTACAGAGGATAAAGAAAAGGTATCTCTACCCCGGACGAAGACTTATTTTCTCTGACATTATTTTAATGAGATTTCAAAGTATTAAAATGTATTTTTACTTTTAGATTTCTGTACAAATAAATGTCCAGGATGATATCTACCAGATACTGTTATCACGTGCAAATACAACTCATTTTTACCTCTTTGTCAGATCTCTTTAAGTGGTTGCACCTATCTAAAAACTGATATCCTGCCATGACCCATTCCTTCTGTATTAAGCTTTGAAATCCAACAATTGTTCGAAAATAGGGATCCAGCATGACTTGGATGAGAGAAGCAGCAAGACAGCTCAGGTCCCGTCCCTCTTCCTCTGTGAATAACATACAGAATGAATACAACACATAAGGTATATATGCACATGTACAGAATTGGATCTCTAAGAGAAAAAAGAGGCACCTAGGTCTAGTGTTTTTATTCTAATTTCTTTTAAAAGATCCTTTTTGTTGCTGTAATTGTTCTCCTAGTTAAGAAAAACCCAGAAGAAAAACACACCTCTTTTTTCTTAAACTGAGACTCATAGTATAGAAAGGGTTCCTGCAGTACTCAGCACAACAGTGCATTCATCAAGAACAAAATATTCCTTTGATGCTAAGGACTATACTACAGTTCAGACACATAACAAAATTATTTTCCTTTCTAGTTCCCCAAATTACTAACATATTTAGGAAGTGATGGGGTTTATGTTTAAAGATTACAGTTGATTTTATCTAAATCTGTTTATCTCAATTATCACAGTAATGCTCAGAATTACAGGATGGTCTCTGTTCCATTACCTTGCAGAACTACAGAGACGTGCTTGCACTCCATCATATAGACAAGCTCTGCAGAATGCCTAAGAAATGATCTAGACAGGAAAGGAAAATGATTTAACAGTTAATATAACAGGTTCACATTTGACAAGAAAAAATATTTGGGATATCTATATATCTCTCTGTATAACTCATATATTAAAACAGAGAATCTTCCAAATGATGGATTGTTTATTTACGCTGCTGAAAGCTTTCCATAGCTCATTAAAACCATCTCATTAGTGGTACAAACCTAATGTACTCTAACCAGCGAGTATTCTCCAGTGAGGACAGCCACTTCTCCTCGGTTTCTTCAAAAGGCTCTGCAACAGGGAAAGTAATGACATTGCAGAACAACTTCAAATAACTATCCCTGTTAGCCAGATCTATTAAAATTCACTGCATTTCAAGAAAATAACCACCGTGAGAGAAGGCCAGACCAGCCTACCATTGACACAGAGCTGTTTGAGTTTGATGTGTGCAGCCTGGATTTCCTGGATGTTGGGGAGACATTTGTCCAGGTCAGATTTGTAAACATCACTTCTCAGGGGATGGCTCCGAGTTATTGCATTACAAATCCTATGTCAGGAAAAGAATCAGCAGGTTTGTTATTGCAGAGGAAAGAAACAGTCTTTCAAGAAATGTGCCACAGTCTTTAACTGCAAACTAGAACCACATAAAACATGCACCTTATTCTCAAAAAAAAAAAAAAGTGTCCTAGTTTATATGCGGGAGATATATTGCTCCTGCCATAAATCTAATGACCCAGAGATTTTTGGTATGTGCTAGTTACAAAACAAAGAAATGGAAATGCTGGAACATGAAAACAATGCATTTGGGAAATGAAAATCTGAGGCTGACTGACAGTTAAATAGTGCTATTCAATTTTTTATTTTCCATCATTTGTAATAAGACTTATCTATGCTAAATAAACAGAACATATATAAAGCTTGTGAAGTCAGGAAATCTGACAAGGTTTCAAATAAAACTCAGAGCTCCAGTTTGCACAATGCAGGTGTTTGCACTACTACAGAAAGTCACTCTACAAATTAAACCAAAGAACAAAAAATAACAAGTTAGTAAAGTACTTATGCAAGGCTCTAAATGCCTTCAATCTTTCATCAAGGACAGCGAATGACAAATGTTTCACAGAAATACCAAGTGCATTGTGGCACTAAATCTACAGAACTGTATTTCCCAGTGTTCCCACTGTCTTGCCGAAGCAGGTAAGAAAATCTCCACCAGTGTAGGTAGTGTTACAGTAAATCTGATCCTTTATCAGTAAATTCTGCCACCTAATGATGAGCCACCTAAAAAATAAACATACCCTAAAATCTGAAAAGTTATTCAGTATTGGAAACTGAGGTGGACCTTGAACAGAAATTGTGCCAGAACTACATCCAGAGAACAGTCTCTCAGAAGTCCCCACACTACAACACTATGAAGCAAATATCCTCTCCATGACCCATCCCTGCTGTATGTTACAGTCACCACTTGCGTTATCCTGACCCTCTGATTAGGGAATAACTCAGCTAATCACTTACCTTTGATCAATCCTTCGTTGCTGCAATACATCTTTAATGTTGGCCATTCTTACAAGGGCACTCCCGTTAGGGTGATTCCAGGACCATAACTGATATGGGGAAAGAAACACAAAAGAAACAACAGGTTAGTGTTATTCTGTAGAAATATCTTATTAATGCTACACAGAACTCTGTTCATTGGCAAACACAACTTTAAGATTAATATTGTACAATGATCAAGAACAGCAACAGAATAAAGACAACACTTACTGGCATTCGCCTCCCAATGAAAGAGTAGGAGTATAGCTTAAGGTCTTGATCTGCTAAGGAAGATGGAACCACAAAATATTCTGGAAGGCTTGGGGAAAAAAATACAATAAAGAAAGGTCACTTTTCCCTGTGTTTTTTACCAGCTCCTCTCTTGCTGCAGCTCAGTCAAACTGCCCCACAGCAGCCCTGCAGTGTTGTCCCATGTGATGGCACGGGCATGGCTCAGATGGAGCTGTTTGGAAACGTGTATGTTCCACAGGGAAGGACAAAAGCATGAAAGCCACAGATGCCAAAATCTGACATTTCCTTTAATGACAAAGCTTGCAGCATATTTCAGCTGGGGGGCCCTCCAGGGAGTGGCCCGTTTGTGAGGTGCAGAGCACGGGTGGGTGGGATGGAGGCTGTGGCAGAGGAGACAAGACAATTCCTGACAGGACAATTCCAAGGCAGTACAATTCCCTTCCCCTGGTGTCCCAGAGCAACTTACCAAGTAGAAATCATATACCCCTCGTTGACTGAACACACTCTCCACTCAGATGCACCAGTCCTTTTGATTTCTCTGTCCCAGTCAGAGTAGGTTTCAAACAAAGGTGTCTGCTGAGCACTGGCACTGCCGATGCCACCGCCACCACCTCCTGGGTCTACACCATTCACCTTTGCTAGGAAGAGAAAAGTCATCAATGCACATTAAAAAAAAAAAAAGAAAGAAAAAAATTAACCCCCTCACCTTCCTAATTGCAAGAATGAGCCATTAGCATCAGGACTAATATTACCTATTTTTGCATTACAACAAAGCAATGATTTAATGACAGCTTGGTGACACATGAAGATGTAAATGCATTTTTTTCCCCTGCAATTTCAATAGAAAACATCAAATTGGTATGCTGTGCTGCTTGATAGAAAGCAAGACACATACTAACACTCAGGAACAAATGTTACGTCCAGTCACACAATTTCTTTCTTCAATATGCCAAAGTTCACAACATTTTTTAAAAATAAAGCCTTTACAGGTTACCCTTTAATAGGTACCTTGTGAAGAAAGAAAAATAAAACTTATATAATTTCAACAACTTTAAATGACTGCTGTATTAACAGCAAATAAAATAGATGGAAGGCCAAGTTAAAATATGTTTTTATATATCTATATTTATATCCACAAAAAAAGATGGTCTACCATTTTGTGTCAAGGGACCAGGAGATTCTATAGTTTGTTGCTAATACAGAAGGATCTCTTTTGCTGGTCATTCTTTAGGTGCCAAGGAGACACTCAGCAATGTCAAAGGAAACTGCTTTTTGTTTCTTGACACTTGGAAGTAAATTTTTAGAGGAAAGTGGAATAAACTGAGACAACTCTCTCAGCTCCCCTGTGAAAGCTCTAATCTTTGGCTGTTCTAGTCTGTAAGGATGCAAGAGCCTGCCCAGCCACAGCAGGAACAGTGGCAGGGCTCTGCTGACATCTCACTGACTGTGCAGTGTCTACTTTCTGTATCTATCCATTTCATTCTTGCACTTGTACTCTGACTACTTATGTTCTTCTGAAGAAAACTGGACTAAAATCAGAAAGAATTAGTTCTTCAAAGACAGAAACAGAGAAATACGATAATTAACAAAAAAGTCACAATTTTACTGTTCAATAGCAAGATATGTAACTATCAAATATAGTCTGGGAAAAAAACGATGTACACCAGAGCAATGCAGGCTTTTTATGTTCCTCAGGAAGCACAAAGACAGTATCTCACCTCTTACTTTACTGGGAGTAGAAGGGATAGAGAGTCATAAAACAGTGCTGGAATTGCAAGAGGAAAGCCAGAGATCTCTGCTACAAACCCCAGAGTTCACAATAACAACAATCGCCCAACCCAAAAGTATTTCAAACTCTCTTCTCCAGCAGCTGCAGGATAGCAGAACAACTATCCTTTGCCATTCTGGTCTGCTGCTCCAGAGGAACATTTTTACCCACCTTATGTAATTCTTCCACTAGGTATTTTTCCATACAGCAAATGGTATTTTAAGGACAGAGTAAAGGAAACTTTGTGACAGACTAACATTGTATTGCAATTTTATCTGCAAATTGGCTTCCTCTCTAGTCCTTTATAACACTAAAGTACATGGCCCTTAATAACCGCCGGAGTTGTAGGAGGTAAGAAATTCTCTGTGTACTTATGTGTGCAGCATGATCACATGCACAGCTGTTCTCATGCATGCACAGGGCAGTCATGGAGGCACCTGCACGAAGAACATGCATTTCTGTGCAAATCTGAAGGCCTGCTCTCATAATTCCACAACATTCATACTTGATAACAGGCAGGTCAGTGGTTTCTAGTGCCAGCTGCTGAGTGAATCTCTCAGTACCACAGAACTCCAGCAATGGCACCTTCTCTGAGTGAGGCTTGTGAGGCAGAGCTGAGGCTTTCAGCGGTGTATTGGCTGGGGAACACTCCAGTGACCGCACAGCATTGCACTAGAAATCAAGTTCCAAAGGATCTGGTTCAGGCTTACCTAACTGACAAGGTTCAGGTGGAGACTGGCCTTGAGCAGAGAGGGTGTGCTCCAGCTCAGCAGGGGTGGTGGAGGTTTTGAGTGGTAAGAACTGCCTAGTAAGCCTCTAGGAAAGAAGGTATGGAGTCCCAAGTTGCACAAATCCTCCTGCAATACCACCAGAAGAGAAACTTATTCCCAAAAGAAGGGCAGGTGAACAAGCCTGCCTGATGGGAGATTAACTGGCTACCTACAGCACTGATGCAGACATACAACAGGAGGATGAAAGCGTGGATTGAGAAATAGGAGTAGTCATGCTGACATAGGTACTTTGGCTTTGTTTCTGACAGGAAAGACATTTCTTTTGATTTTGGTCGCTAATGTCTATCACAATGAATGACTTACAACCATTATAAGTAAGAAGTTGGGTGCAGAACAAGCCGATTTTGTTACCCCTGGAGAAAGCCTCAAATGCTTTTTGCCACTGGTTCCAGACAGAAGTCTTACTAAAAATACATATTACGAAGTAGGAAAAAACCACAATCAAAGTACTTTCATACTTACCTAGATTATGATACATTTCCCCAACATACTCAAATGCAAAGAGAAGCTGAAGATCTGTTGGCTGAGAATAATGAGCTATTGCAAGGCACACCTAGGAGAGAAACATTTCTTACTGTTATTTATAGACAAAAAAATATTGCCCATTAAGTATGCAGAGCTGTTGAAAAGCTAGAAATTAGTCTTCTGATATTTTATTTCCATATTTTATCTGAGTGAATATATGGTTGCACATACTGATATTTGCCACACTGCAATCATATCATGACCATCTGTCAAGAGTGACCAACTGATAAGGGTGGACTAAGTCTTTGCAAGAAGGGTCAGACTGCAACAGGCAGTCCAAAACATGACCCTCTGTATCCAGAGAGACAAGCAAGGACTTGGAGCTCGTGTGTTGTGCCTGTCCACCTGAACAGAGAAGTAAGGAGGAGAACAGAAAAAGCAGAGCACAACACACAGGCAGTGAGCACAGCACAGCAAAATCTCATTTGTAACTGGTATTTCAACTACATTTTTAAAAATAAAGAGTACTTATCAATATAGCCTAAGAACCTAAGAATGGCCATGCTGAGTCCATTCCCAAGGTAAACTTAGCACTTTGCTCCTGGCAGCAGCCAGCAATCCATGCTTAAGGAAGGGGGTGAAACACAGAAAGCACTGAATGGAATTTTACCAGCATAATTTTCAGCAGTTCAGCCACTTCCTGAACTAAAATTTGGTATCAGTATTTAACAGCATTTGATAGATATTTCTTGTACAAAGTTGTTGGTTGTACCAGGTTTTTGATGTGACATCCCTTTACAGAAGTCCCATTGGTTCTTCCTCTAAGACTCCTGAGATTAAACTTGAGTGCAGCACATGGTTTAGGATTAGATACTAGACTTAAAATACAGTCAAACTTCTCTAGTCTCTCTCTCTTTAAATGTAGATAGTCACTAATAGATACAGAAGATTTGACTAAAAACGTAATATCTAGAAGAATCCCACTCAGGAATTTAAAAAATCAAGTAGAGACTGGCACTGTTATACTGCAAATTGCAGGACTTGAATGGGGTCTTGAGCTTTGCCCTCCTCCCTCAATATTTGCTTCTCCATTTTACTAAAATGTACCTGCCTTATCTCTAAAGAAAATACTTAAGGAAAAGAAGGCCATAAACCACAGGACTCTGTTCTACATGTTCAGATACAGATATTGCATGTGACAAAAGTTTTTAATCAGGGACATAGTGCAAGTCCACATTATTACCACCTAAAATTTTTCCTATTTTCTTCCTTCCCTTCAACTTCCCATGACTTTCCACATTTGGGAACACAATTATTAATGGCGTAGCAGTTTAGGATACTATTTTTGAAAAACATTCTGTGCATCCAAGAAATTGTTTTCTGTTAATGAAGGAAAGTTTTCTTGTTCTGATTGCCATAAAAGAAAGATTTGCACAACAGAACTGAAGGAATAAAGCATTGAGGGACAGGAAAAAAGCCTGAGAGCTCAGTTCTGCTAAGTTCTACATGGAGAAAGTTACCACACTTCTACTGGCTTGTATGCAATATATATGGCATTATGGAACCTTTGCTGCATTTCTATATACTTTGACTTTTGATGGGGACATTCCACATTATTTAAAAAACTAGTAATGACAATAGACTAACTTCAGCTGAAAACGTTTTTTCACCAACACTTCCCAACAAAAAAATTCCTATCAAGTCTTAGAACAACAGTTGCTTTAACTGATCTCCTCACACTTTCAGCTCTACAAGGAAACCACGAAAGAAAATAGAGGACAGAACATTCCGAGGGTGACAACCCCTCAGAACACCCAAACAGTACAAGTGTCCCTGGGAAACAGTCTAGCAGGACTTGTCAAATGAATATTTACAAGCTCATTGCCAGGATTTGGTAAAATTTTTCATGACTATCATGAAATAACTGGAAGGCATGCACATTTTATTAAATCTTGTGATTTCAGTGTACAAGCCAAAGCTGAAGAAGCCAGCTATTCAACAATATCTGGCCACTTCTAACAGATTTCTTATGGCTACCATTAAAAATGAAACACAACGGAAATGTCTGTATATACACATTTTTACTTTCATTCTTCTTTGTAGCTTTTCACTGCTAACTGATTCTAGCAGAGCTACTCCTCATCTTCTTTTATGGAGTGAAAGTAGAAAGCCTTTTACTATACTGATCCACTCTCAAGGCTTCAGGATAAACTGCAAGACACAAAAAAAATTCCATTGTGCTGCCAAATAACACAATAGAAATACAGTAAAACCTATTTTTGAAAGCAGCAGCTGAAATCTCTGTCATTTACTTGCTACATTTGAAAAAGATGGGGGGGGTATGCTGTGTTAAGAGGGATAAAATGGCAGGAGGGGGGATAATAACCATTCAGATCTGGTTCCCCAAAAAAATATGACACCATAGCTGTGCTTTTAAACAAAGCAGCTGAAAAATCCCTCCAAGGTTTCCATAGAATAGAAAAAACACACCAGGCATTGCATGGGTGAAACAGTTTGACCTCTATTTCTTTTATTTAAAAGAGTGATATATTTATTCTGCTGCTATCTTTATTTTTACATTTTAGAAAAATTCTGCTCATATATATATACACTAAACAAGCATTAAAGACATACTCATTTTCAGTTTATTCCTCACTAAATCCCTATAGTAGTTTTATAGTCCTAAAGATCCCAAAGACAAGCACATTCCACAGATCTCAGCAGATTATCGCCGTAAGTAGAAAGCTCTTAAATTGGAAGACAAACATGTTTTACAGGAAGCCTTCTCATATCAAACTGAAAAATGTTTGGTATTCTTGCCAATTCACAATTGTGTAAAGCTCTAGATACTCAGGCTCAGACAAATAACAAGAGAATGGGCTGCTTGTTGGAAAGTTCATGTATTAAAAGCAGTAAACACAATGGCTGCAGTTGTTTCATAGTACAAAGGCCACTTCCCTGTGTCATGTCCCCTGTTCAACCCTTATCTGAGAAAAATAAATGATAACTTGCAGGGCACACCCTCCACTTCATCATGATTTTTACCAAGGACAAGAGCTTCAAGGTATTTCCAATGCTCTTGTAGAAGAGTTTTGAACAGTCCTATTCCAGATGTGCTAAGGTAGCACAGCCTGGCTTCCTTAAGCCAGGCCACCTGTCTCACCAACTGTCTGGAAGGATGCTGCTTTCCCTTGCTACTGCAGTTCCTATTCCAAGCAGACACTTGCAGCAGAAAGTCATGCAAGCAGGGCCAGATAAAGCCCCACAAACAGAATTTGTTAATCTTCCTAAGCTGGAAGTCTTCTCGGGAAAATAAGTATTCAGGCAATAAGTCTTCCAGTCCTAACCCTCACACATGTTCTCATAGCTGCAAAGCTATGAATTGTCTAACTGAGAACTGCTTTTTTCCACTTTTATAAGAATTCCAATACCAGCTGTACATAATACTTAATTTGGTTTGAGCATGAGAGGAAACATTACAAAGCTTTTAAAAGCTGAAGTAAATTTTTTACATATCAGGATCCTTGTTTGTACAAGAATGTGTTTGAATTCTAAGTACAGGTTTCCTAAGCATTAAGAGAATTATTAAAATACCTCTCTATTTTTTAAAATAGCTTTTACCTTTGTCCAGAGCAGCTGTGGATGCCCCAATCCTGGAAGTGTCCAAGGCCAGGTTGGGCGGGGCTTTGAGCAACCTGGGCTAGTGGAAGGTGTCCCTGCCCGTGGCAGGGGGGTTGGAACTAGATTAGCTTTAAGGTCCCTTCCAACCAAAATCATTTTGTGATTCTGTAAGTTTACTTCTGAAATAAGTTTTCTTCACACCCTCCAACCCACTCCAAGACAGTATCTTCCCATGCATTCCCTGCGTCTTGAGACATTATCAATTTTGTGATCTGTATAAACAATTAGAGCAAGGTAATAGAGTTGGGGAACACATTAGAAAGGGTCAGGACCATTTGTTCAAAACTCTTAAGAATTTCATATTATTGTTCATAACAATTAGGAAAAAAATGTTCCCCTCCATCCCAAGTGTTATGACATAGGAGAAGGCTAGTTTTGATTGCACAGGACACAAGATTTGAGATAAATAACTTTCCTTCTGCTTTGACTGAGCATGTGATTCTGAAACTGCTCTCACTCTCATTTAAAAAACTTCCTGAACGAAAAGAACTGAGGGAGTTCCAGAAGAGAAAGGGACTGAGAAAATGGAGATACATTTATGGAGATACAGGGTGTGTGCCATTCTGGTGCACTGCCAAGATCCATACGGACGGTGAGGCAACACTCTATCCATCATCTTACAATCATAACATCTAAAGCTTCACATTTTCATATTTATTTTCTCAGTCTAATGTCAAGTACTGCAGTGCCTAGAAAATGGCAGGACTTCTCAGTTTGACTGTTTGTTGTCATTTTTGGAACAAAATAATTCCTTTCCTTTAAGGAATGTGAAATGTTTCTTTTTTTGCACTGCCTAACTTAAGACTTCCCCAACTTGCTTACCCTTGCTTCCCCATCCTCCGCTTCCTCCCACACCCATCTGGCTTTCCTTCTTTTGGAGACTCTATAGCTTTATTTTAAAGACAAAACAGAATTAAATTGCTAAACAGTGATGAGTGAAAATTTCCATTCCCTCTCTTTTTCCTTAACTCTTGTCTCCCAAACATCCACTAACAAAAATGAGGAAGAAAATATTTACCTGACTGATTAATGCTGAGATCCTCACAGAGAGACTTGGAATAATCTCTATTCTAGTAAGGCAGCTTAATTAATTATTCTCCCTTATGCTCTGTTCAGCAAATAGAGGCACTTCCTTAGGAACAGATTACACTTTCTTTGCCAACAACAATTTATGTCACTGAATGCTGTTGAGTATTTCCAGTACATGCACAGAACTGTGCAAATTACTTAACTGCATAAAGTTAGTATCTGTCCTCTTTGTAATTATTCCATATATTTAAAACTCATTTTAAATAGTAATTACCATGCGTATTGCTTTTATATAACTATTGCTCTAAAGGGAACATTTCTTATCACCTGGCAGCAAGTTAGAGACATTTATACTCCTATAACTTGAAGTGTATATTTTAGTATCTAGATAGTTCATTTTGACCTACCAGTGCTTTATTTATAGGATGCTACTCCTCTGTATAACAAGGATGACATTTCATTACAGCCCAATCTAACCCTGGCAACTCTGAAGAGAAAGGTGGACTAACTGATGGTGTCCCCAGGCCCCTCCCATGCACTCTCCTCTGCAACATTCTCCCACTCAGAGGACAGTGCACATGAGCAGGATTTCCCTCACATCAGAACTCAGTTATACTTCAAGTCTTGGTCTTTCCTACAAAAGTTATGCACACACAGTTATTTCCAAGCAGACAGCTACCAGCGTTTTCAGGCACAAAGAGCTGGATATGGATTAAAGAGGCCCTTCAGAACTTTAAGGAGGCCTGGTTGCTGTCCTTTGTTTTTAAACATCAGGACAACTTTGCTAATAGGTACTACCTGAAGGGCAGAAATCAGAAAGCAGATAAAATCTTTCCAGAGTGTGGGGCCAGCATGCCACCTAAATGTCAGAAAGAGCAAGACACCTCCATTCAATATGCTGTGTAAGTCCCTTCTAGATGTGCTCGCCAGCCCCCCAAAATAATATAAGCAAAATCCTGATACAGGAAAACTGATCTAAGGACCTCATGGTTTACACATTTATATTTTAAAGCTAACAGAATAGGTTATTAACAGAATTGTTTCCCCCTTCAGTTTAATTGTGCTTCTGTGATTCACCCACACAGAGTTGCAGTATCTACTTGCTGCATTAAAACTGCAACAGTAGCCACACAGTTGCATTTGTACACATTTTCTTGGACTCCTCTAGTGAGCATATTCTGATACTTGAAAATGGCAGGTGTAACACTTCTGGTCACTACCAGCACAGTGTTTATAACCACACCGACTCAGATCCTTCAGGATCTCCAGAACTAGCTGTTCTTCCTAGGAACCACCTAAGACCACGTAATTGCAAATGCCTAAAGTGCCTCCAAAAAAGGTTTCACTGTTTGCTCTAGCTGAAGTAAATGCAGCCTGAAAAGCGTTAATGAGATGCTGAGTTTATTCTCTCTTCCTCCCTTCTCCAGGCAAATCACCCTCCTCAGCTGGAACAGCCAACTAGACACAGTTGCTGTACAGATGCAGCAGGCGAGGGCTGCCCCAGGGAGGTTTCTGGGAAGCTGTCAAAGGGGAACTGGCTGCTGGAAGATTGCCAAGGCAGCAGCAGGGAGGGAGCTGCACAAGTGCAAGGCCAGAACAGTGTCTGCAGTACCCTGCCCCTGCTCTCAGGGAGGGCAGCAGGGGAAGCAGCGATGGGCCGGCTCTGCAGTTACTCGGCTGGAACTGCAAACACGTTTATGCCTGGGCAGATGGTTCTTAGGACTTACAGGGCTAAACTAAAACTTCATCCTACTGAGAAGGGGGATTCTTAAGCTCTGAGAGCAAACTGGGTCATTCCTTACGAAAGGCCAGCTATGCCATGGAGGCCAGAGGAGCTGGAGCAGCCCCTGACAGCAGAGAGCCAGTGTGTGCAGGCTGGGCACCCCTGCCCAGCACAGCCAGTGTG